GTAAAACTCGTTGTAACTGAAGGCAGTGATTACTGTTGTCACTAGACTTGGTAAAACTCGTTGTAACTGAAGGCAGTGATTACTGTTGTCACTAGACTTGGTCAAGCTCGTTGTAACTGAAGGCAATGATTACTGTTGTCATTAGACTTGGTCAAACTCGTTGTAACTGAAGGCAGTGATTACTGTTGTCACTAGACTTGGTCAAACTCGTTGTAACTGAAGGCAGTGATTACTGTTGTCACTAGACTTGGTCAAACTCGTTGTAACTGAAGGCAGTGATTACTGTTGTCATTAGACTTGGTCAAGCTCGTTGTAACTGAAGGCAGTGATTACTGTTGTCATTAGACTTGGTCAAACTCGTTGTAACTGAAGGCAGTGATTACTGTTGTCATTAGACTTTGAAGAAAGAAACCTCGTTAATTAAAAATGCATATTTCTCGATATTCATTATACAATCTTTTAACGTGTTATAATTAATGCAGAAAATGCTGTCAATAGTCCTTACTTGTATGCCTTTTATATATATATATATATTCGCGTGCTTATGTGTGTGTGTGTGTATATATATTCACACACGCACATATATACTACACATCTTAAACATTTAAATACAACTTTATTCTAATATTTTGTGCAGCGATGATGCATAGTACACTTGAAAGTTTTGGTTTTTATTTAAATTTCTGAAATAACTCACAATTAAGTTAATTTTTCAAATAGAAAAAAAGAAATGATATATATATATATTAACATTAAGCTGAATGGGGTATTTGTTAGGCCTTCTAATTCTACCAAAATCAAAGGTCAGAAATACAGTCTCCACGATTTTTTTTTCTTAGTCGGTTAAGTTTACATAAAATTAAGTTTTTACAATTTCACAAAAACATCATCCACACTAGAAGTTTCGGACATGCCAGGACACATTTTTCCAGTGATGCTGCTAACTAATATACTAGGACACGTTTTTACAGTGATGCTGTTAAGTGTATATATTTACATACTACTAAAAGGTGTTTGAAGAAATAGTTAAGAGAAAGGTTAGTTTCACTAGATTAAAAAATGTCTACATTATCGAAGGAATTTATGTTTTATAACTTATTTATTCTGCTACTGTCACACTCTTAAAAATATACACACTCTACAGGTAGCTCATAGTGATAACTTAAAAACAGTTTTTGTACTTGGAAGAAAAACGATGTTCCTTACAGAGTGGCCTAGTAACAAAGGTAACAGAATTTACACGGAAGCCCAGTAAAAAAAAGGTAACATTTTACAGGGTGGTCCAGTAAAAAAAAGTAACAAAATTTACAGGGTAGCCCTGTAAAAAAAAAAAAAACGATAACAGGTTTTATAGAGTGGCCCAGTAAAAGAAAGATAACAGAAATAATTTTATCATTCCTCACAGTTTTATTTTAGTTGTAAATATTACTGGGGTTTTGGTTAAAGTGAACGAATATTTGAGATTTGTATACGTTACCTTTGATTTTTAATTATAATCCTACTTAGATTAGTTATCTTGTTGTTATATTATCTAGTTTGTTTCTAATCAATGTTACCTTAGTTTCTTAAGTATAATCCTATTAAGATTATTTATTTTGTTGTTACGTTACCTAGTTTTTTTGCGAATTAATGTTACATTTAATTCTTAATGATAACCCTAGCGAAATTAAGTAATATTCAAACCACATGTACTGACACAGAACCAACAGTAGTTCACTCTATTGGTATATTAATTTGAAGTTTAAAGGAGCTTGTACAGTTGGGGTCAAACTTACTGATATTATGTGAGGCTTAAATTAGTGCGACCTATTGATTGGGGTCTCTTATTTAGTGAAAATTATGATGTTAAAACACGTTCAAATCAAACTAGCTAGATATCAACTGAATTTCTGAAAACATGTCGTGGCATGTTTAGTTAACAGCATCACTGTGAAGAGATATTATCACACGTTAGTTAATAATATCACTAGGAAAACACGTCGTGGCATGTTTAGTTAACAGCATCACTGTGAAGAGATATTTCACACGTTAGTTAATAATATCACTAGGAAAACATGTCGTGGCATGTTTAGTTAACAGCATCACTGTGAAGAGATATTCTCACACGTTAGTTAATAATATCACTAGGAAAACATGTCGTGGCATGTTTAGTTAACAGCATCAGTAGGAACACATGTCCTGGCATGTTAGTTAACAGACTCACTGTAAAAACATGTCCTGGCATGTTAATTAACAGCATTAACGTGAAAACTTGTCCTAGTATATTAGTTAAAAGTGTCACTGTAAAAACGTATCCTAGTATTATTTGTTAACAGCATCACTGTGAAAATGTGCACTCAGGTGTTAGTTAACAGCGTCACTGTGAAAACTTGTCCTAGTATATTAGTTAAAATCGTCACTGTAAAAGCGTGTCTTCACATGTTAGGAGAGACGTAAAACATCACATCATATATATATACATGAGAGACGTAAACATCACATCATATATATATGATGTGATGTTTTACGTCTCTCGTGTATATATATAAATATATGATGTGATGTTTTACGTCTCTCGTGTATATATATATGTATATGATGTGATGTTTTACATCTCTCGTGTATATATATATATATATAC